TTGGTGAGCTTGAACAGCTGATCTTGTGTTTCAAATTGACTGCAATCCCGTGCAGTAACCCACAGCACCACATCAGCCCTCCATAAAAATTACAGCCTTGCAAATCTTATGGGGCAGTTCTATTCTGTCTTAGGTTAAAATTGACCTTACAGTTATGAGTTAGAATTGACTAAGTAGCAGTGTTGTTTTTTGTTTTAAGTTCAGTCTCCTCATTTAAAAAATGAAGCTAGTCACAGGGTGTTTATGAGGGTTAAATGAATTTAAAAAATGAAATGAATTCATCCAGGTAACGTGTTTTGCACAGTGAGGACTTAAAACACTTACTGATGAAGATCAAAGAGCACAGCCTTCAGTATGGATTACATTTCAATGTCAAGAAAACAAAAATCCTTACCACTCACTGGACCAATAAACAACATTCATATCAGTCGAGAAAATATTGAAGTTGTCAAGGACTTCATTCTTCTTGGATCAACTATCAACAATTATGGAAGCAGCAGTCAAGAAATCAAATGACGTTTTGCATTAGGCAAATGTCCTGCACAAGACCTTTTTAAAGTGTTGAAGAGCAAAGATGTCAGCTTGAGAACTAAGGGGCATCTGACCCAAGCCATGGTATTTTCAATAACCTCATATGCATGCGAAAGCTGGACAGTGAATAAGGAAGACCATAGAAGAATTAATGCTTTTGAGTTATGGTGTTGGAGGAGAATATTGAAAGTGCCATGGGCTGTCAAAAGAACCAATAGACCCATTTTGGAAGAAGTGTAGCCAGAGTACTCCTTGGAGGTCAAGATTGCCAAAGTTCATCTCTCATACTTGTCACATATTGTCAGGAGGGACCAGTCATTGGAGAAGGTTATCATGTTTGGTAAGGTGAAGGGTCAGAGAAAAAGAAGAAGACCTCCAACGAGATGGATTGGCCAAGTGGCAGCATCGATGGACTCAAGCGTGGCAACAGTAGTGAGGAAGGTCCCGGATTGGGCAGTGTTTCGTTCTGCTGTGCATAAGGTCACTATGGGTTGGTACCGACTCGATGGCACCTAACAACAACAATTCAGTATCGACGGCACTTAACAACAACAACAAAATTCAGTATCATTACCATTAAGATAATACATGTAGCAAGCAGTCCCAGATGAACTCCGTTTGGAATTCAACTCCTGGCAGCTCATACTGGTAGATGATGAAATACAAGTTCTGCCAATATGGTCTGTGCACATGGTTGGATATGCACTGGACTTTATAGCAGGAGGTGGCTGTGCCAAGTAGAGCATGACCCCCTGTGGGGCCTTGAAAGTAGTGATGATTCCAAGGTTCCTGGACAAGGAGACCAAGTAGAGGAACCCCATGGTCATACTTCAGCATCCCTGAGGCTCAACCCCAGTGGCTGATTAGAGATCTCATTAGCACCTACTAACTGATGAGCCTGCAACATCTGGTCACTGACAATTCAAGACTCCCCATTTGTCCTTTACTCTGTCCCAGACTGCTCTGCTTCGTCTGTAGAACACAGAGCCCCCAGAACATCCTCCACTGACACTCCACTTCCTGCAACCTCCTCTGTTGATGTTATCTGTCGTCCAGTTGGTTCTGAAGTATGACGACCATATATATAGCAGACAGAAGCTTTGTCCAGCCTACACTAGTATATTGTGCTCTGAGTTTCTTGTGACATAAACAGAGGCTGCAATAAATCTTGTCCAGAGGCCTAGGGCTTGCTTTGCAGCAGGAAGGATTTGAATTAGATAAATAAATGAACAAACAAAATATCCTTAAACCAAACCTGTTGCCACTGAGTCGATTCTGACTCCCAGTGACCCGAGGTGTTACAGGGTAGAATTGTTCCAGAGGGTTTTCTTGACTGTAAGCTTTCCAGAAGCAGATCATCAGGACTTGTTTTTGAGATGCTGTTGCATGAGTTCAAACTGCCAACTATTATGTTAGTAGTTGAGTGCAAGCTGTTAGTATCACCTTTGGATTAGCAGGAAGAATTTCCTGATTCTTGCTGTTAAGTGTCATGGAGTTGGTTCCAACTCATAGTGACCCTGTTTCCTAGGCTTTTTCCTGATTGTTGTTTTGTTAAGTGCTGTTGAGACGGTTCCAACCCATAGCGATGCTGAACAGGGTTTCCAAGGCTATAAATCTTTACGGGAGCAGAAAGCCTCATTTTTCTCCCATGGAGCAACTGGTAGTTTTGAACTGCTGACCTTGCGGTTCACAGCCTGATTCATAACCACTATGCTATCAGAGCTCCTTTTCCTGATAGTGAGGTGATTAAACATTGAAATGTGTTTCTATGGGAGACTGTGCAAGTCAAGTTCCCTGTTAGTGCCTTTCTTCCCATTGATCACTTCACACACCAATTGCCATGGGGTTGACGCTGACTCACCATGACCCCATCCATGTACGTCAGAGTAGAACTGTGCTCCATAGGTTTTCAATGGCTGAGTTTTCATCTGTAATTACTAAGTCTTTCTTATGAGGCAACTTTGGGGAGACTCAAGGCTCTAACTGTTTAGTTAGCAGCTGAATATGTTAACTATTGGAACCACCCGGGGATTCCATTGATGGCCTCAGTAAGAACTGATAGATAGAGAACCTGAAGCCTCTTTGATTCTGGGTCCTGGTAAACCCAAACTCTCATTCTTTCACTGAAAAATTGGCCCAGGCTTCCTTTTGCATCACTAGGAGGAGTTTCTTTTATTGGTTTGTTTTCTTAGTAAAGTTCAACTAGGGGCAGAATTCTGACAGACACAAATCTATGGACTCTCTAGTGGAATGTCATTGAATAGCAGCTTCACTAAACACCAAACCAGAGGAAATTGGGTGGAGACATGAGGCTTACACCAAAGCTGTATTCCACCTCAGCTCAGGCTGCTGCTGGCACTGGAGAAATGTCTGAAGCCTACTCTGGAGGCTTTCAAAACCAGAGTCCCACCTACTTGGAAGGATCCAGCTTAACCAGTCCCTGGATGCTGGCTTCCCACAGAGCAAACCTTCACTACTGCTGCTCCTAATGCTTTGGGTGGGGCATGCTGCTGGTCTTCTACATAGCAGTGTGGCTGAGGAGGGGCCCCAGCATAACTTGGGTGAGTGCTGAGGACACTCCTAAAGCTTCTAGGTGTATCTTCCTTTGGGAGTGTTTCTGCATCAGCTGGGAGGATGGATGAAGCTAAGAGGCAGACATCACCAGTGCCTGGGTAATTTGGAGGCTCTTTGGAAATTCTTGCTTTGCTTTGCAGACATCTGAGCATCAGAATCAACTTGATGACAATGGACTTGGTTGCTTTGATTGATCTAATCAAGATCTTTGCTGCTGCAAAGCCAGCTCTAGGTCTTTTATTTGGCCACATGGACAAAGCTTATTGCAGGTGTTCATTTGGTTCAGAGGCACCTTAATTTCCCTGAAGAGGTTTTAAACTATTCTGTATCCCTTTTTAGATCACCACCATTTGTCTGTCAGCTTGTCGTACTGTGGTGGCTTAAGTGTTGCTGTGATGCTGCAAGGTATGTCACTGGTATTTTGATTACCAGCAGAGTCACCCATGGTGGACAGATTTCAGTGGACAGACTAGGAAGAAGGGGAGGCAGGCTACTTATGAATGCTTAACCACTGAAAATTTTATGAATAGTAGTGAACATTGTCAGGTATAGTGCTGGACGATGAAACAGCATGAATAGAATATTGTCAGATATATTGCCAGAAGATGAGTTCCTCGTGTTGGGAGGTATTCAAAATATGACTGAGGAAAAGCTGCCTCCTCAAAGTAGGCTTGACTGTGATGACACGACTGGAGTAAAGTTTTTGGGACCTTCAATTGTTGAAGAAGCACAACTTAAAATGAGGAGAAACAACTGCAAACATCTATTGGAACATGGAATGTACCAAGTATGGTCAATGAATAAGGAAGACCCTAGAAGATGCATTTGAATTATGGTGTTGGAGAAGAATATTGAAATTACCATGGACTGCCAGAGGAACAAAGACATCTATGTTGGAAGAAGTACAGCCAGAATGTTCCTTAGAAGCAATATGTTGTTGTTGTTATGTGCTGTAGAGTCGATTCCTACTTATAGTGACTCTGCACAGTGTTTCTGAGGCTGTAAATCTTTATGGGAGCAGAAAGCCTCATCTTTCTCCCACAGAACAGTTGGTAGTTTTGAACTGCTGACCCTGAGGTTAGCAGCCCGATTCATAACCATACTTAGGACATATTATCAGAAGGGACCAGTCCCTGGAGAAGTATACCATGCTTGGTAAAGTGGAGAGTCAGAGAAAAAGAAGACTTCCAAAGAGATGGGCTGACACAGTGGCAGCAACAATGAGCTCAAGTGTAACAATCATGAGGCTGGTGCAGGCCTGGGCAGTGTTTCATTCTGTTGTGCGTGGGGGTCGTTATGAGTTGGGACAGCACCTAACAACAAAGCAGACAACCTGTCCATCATTGTAGGCTGATACAGTGCTCTAGAGGAGTCCCTGGTGGTACAAATTGCTAAGTGCTCAACTTCTCTCAAAAGGGTGGTGGTTCTAATCCACACTTTAGGTGCCTTGGTAGAAAGCCCTGGCAGTCTGCTTCTGGAAGAGCATGGCACTGAAACCCTATGGAACAGTTCTAATCAGCACACCAGGGGTCACCATGAGTTGGAATCCACTCAACAGCAATTGAAAAAACAACAACACCCTCCCAACAATATAGTGCTCCAGAGTCCATTGTGGTTTAAATGAGCAATCCTGCAAGGCAATCTTTCTGCCTCCCTGGGTCCACCTTGGTGGGGGGGATAGGAGGTTGAGGGTAGGAGGGTGGGGGTGAGTGGAGGGTGAGGCAGGGTGGGGGTGAATGAGGAGGTGTACTGGTGTCTCCAGATCAGCTTGGCTTCTTTGGCTTGGTGCTTAAACTAAGATGTACCCTAGCACCCATATCCCCCAATAAATGCTACCCCCACAGCATCCAGCCAGCCCCCACTCACTCTCTCTCCTGGCTTAACCTCAGTCCTACCTGAGGTTCATGTCACCCTTGGCAGCCAGACTGAAGATGTTGGACAGGTTTCCCCCAGGCGAGCAGCCACAGATCAGGATGGCCAGCATCTCAATGTTGTTCAGTTTGAAGAGCTTGCCTAGTGAAAAGGCAGTGAAGGGCATGATGCCATACTGTGCTACCAGGGCAATGGCCAGCCCCTTAGGCTTCCAGAAGTGCTGTTTGATCTTGCTGACCTCCATGGTGCAGCCCAGCGATATCATGACGATGAACAGCATGATCACCAGGATGACGCTCAGTGCCAGGTCCGTGGGACGCTTGCCAAAGTTGGGTGGCAGAGTGAAATTGAAATGAGTGGATATATTGGGGGTCTCCATTCTCCTATGTAATGGTGGACAGCCAAGGGGTCCAGCACAGTCCTTGTCCACCTTCCAGCCCGGTCCTTGCCTGGTGCCTTCTGCTAGCACCTCCCAGAGCAGAGTGTCAGGGCAAAATGTAGCTCTGGGTAAATAGAAAGATCACGTAACTGGCTGAGTTGTTGTTGCTCTGGCGGTGGCCCCAAAGGCGAGAGAGCCCAGGCCTTTCTCTACTCAGCCTTCTTACCTCTCCTGATCTCCCTGGCTCCTGCTGCCCTCCTGTGTGCCACTCATCCTTCCTTATCATTGTGTGCTTTTCTCTCTCCTTTGTCCTCCCCTGAGCTTACCTCCCTGGTGGTGCAGTGGGTTAAATGTTGGACTGCTAACTAAAAGGCAGTTGGTTCAAATTCACCAGCCATTCCTCAGGAAAAGAAGAAGCTGTCTGCTCCTGTAAAGATTTACTGACTCATAAACCCTGTGGAGAAGTTCTATGCTGCCCTATAAAGTCACTAGGAGTCAGAATCAACTAGATAGCAGTGGATTTTTGGTTTTGTGCACACTTCTCAGGTATTCTGTTCCTGGGGCCCAGGGCAGGGCCCACATCAATCTAACTCAGCCTCTGACACCTTAGTTCCTCAGTCTGGAGAAGGTGCCTGAGCCAGTCCTGGTGGAAGTAGGGGTGGGGAGGATCACCATTGTGATTTTAAAACCCATGAGAATGAAAGCTGAGTGTTACTTTTAGTTCCTGGATAGCATATCTAAGGTTGTAGGGCAGGAAGTGCTGGTCCAGGAGGGAATGTGTCCCTGCCTCTTGTCTTGGGAGATGTGAGGAACTGTGTCCCTTTTACCTGTGCTGGGGAAACCCTTGTCTTATCTTCAAACCTGTACAGGTGCCAGGGGAAACTGAGGATGGCAGAGGGCCTCTCAGGAAGCTTGGGAGTTCTCTCCCCAAAGGGAATCTCTGAGAGAACTCTGCCTAAAGAGCTTTTTCTGTGCCCAGACTCTGGGAAGCCCCACAGCATGGGAGACTTGCTGAGGAGGAAGTGGGAATGCATGGCCTTTACTTTCTGATTTCCTGACTGCTCTGCTTTGCTCTGGGCCTGTGTGTGGGTGGCTGGGAGCCAGGCTCTGGACCTACAGCAATAATAGAGAGGGGCAGAGGCCTTTGGCAGGGCATGCCAGGGCCTCCATGCCCCTCTCTTCTTTTGTCCCTGTTGTAGGGATCAGGTCTTCAGAGGTAGGACAAGGGAGTTGGTTTTCTGTGGAAACAATTGCCTCTTGGCTAGGTTGGAATTTGTAAGGCCTGGGTGGGTTCTTTTAGCTTTGTGTCTCATAAAACAGGACTTCAGAGGGCAGAGGAGTCCCTGGGTGCTGCAAATGGTTAACATGCTCAGCTGCTAACAGAAAGACAGAAGGTTTAAGTTTACCCAGAGGCACCTTGGAAGAAAGGCCAGGTGATCTACTTCTGAAAAATCAGCCATTGAAAACCCTATGAAGCAAAGTTCTTCTCTGACACTCATGGGGTTACCATGAGTCAGAATTGACAACAACTGGTTCAGAGGGCTGCACACCATGACCCTGGGTGGCACACACTCGAAACCTCTTGCCTCTGAGTCTCTGATATTAGTGGTTCCCTGGTGCTTGAGATGAATTGGTGTCAAGAGATGGACAGGCAGAGAGCTGGAGGTGTGGTGGTGCATGCGGAGGGTAAAGGCAAGATCCAGGGAAGGCTGCTTTCTCTGCGTGGAGTCAGCCACATGTGGTCCCCTGACAGAGTGACTAGGAAAGAAAAACTGATTAACAACTAGAGCAAAAATGAAAACTTGGCTAAATATGACAAGGGGTATTCATAGCATCAAAGGAACAGACTACAGAGTGAAAGCTTTTAAAAACATGTGCAAAAAGAGAAACTATTGTTATTATTGCTAGGTACCAACTCATAGGGACCTTATACACAACAGAATGAATCACTGCCCAGTCCGGCACCAATCTCACAATCATTGCTATGTTTGAGCCCAAGGCTGCTGCCACTGTGTCAATCTGTCTTGGGGGTCTTCCTAGTTTTCTCTGACCCTCCGCTTTACCAAACATGGTATCCTTTTTCAGGAACAGGTCCCTCCTGATAATGTGTCCAAAGTATGAGAGACAAATTCTGACCTTACTGGCTTCCAAGGAACATTATGGTTGTACTTCTTGCCACAAAGATAGGTTTGTTCTTTTGGAAGTCCATGACACTTTCAATATTCTCCTCTAAAACCGTAACTCAAATGCATCAATTCTTCTATAGTTTTCCTTATTAATGGCCCAACTTTCATGGTATTATTGAAAATACCATGAACACCATGGCTTGGGTCAGGCACACCTTAGTCCTCAAATCTTTGCTCTTGAACATTTTTAAAGATGTCTTGTGCAGCAGATGTGCCCAAGTAATTTTATTTCTTGACTGCTGCTTCCACTGAATGTTGATGGTCGATCCTAGCAAAATAAGTCTTTGAACAACTTTAATATTTTCTCCATTTATATGGATATTATTTATTGGTCCAGTGGTGAGGATTTTTGTTTTCTTTATGTTGAGGTGCAACTTATCAGTAAGTATTTTAAGTCCTCTTTGCTTTCAGCAAGCAAGGTTTTATCATCTGCAGATCACAGGTTGTTAATGAGTCTTCCTTCTATCCTGATTTCTTGTTTTTCTTTATATAATCCAGCTTCTTGGATTATTTGCTCAGCATACAGATTGAATATGTATGGTGAAAGAATATAACCCTGGCATACATGTTTCCTAATTTTAAACCATTTGGTGTTCCCTGGTTCTGTTTGAACAACTACCTCTTGGTCTATGTACACGTTCCTCATAAGCACAATTAAATATTCCAGAATACTCATTCTCCACAATGTTGTCCACAGTTTGTCACGATCCACACAATTGAAAACATTTACATAGTCAATAAAGCACAGGTAAACATCGTTCTGGTATTCTCTGCTTTCAGCCAAGATCCATCTGACAACAGTAATGATAACCCTCATTCCACATCCTTTTCTGAATCCAACTCTGGAAGTTCTCTGTCAACATATGGTTGTGGCCATTTTTGTATTATCTTTAGAAAAATCTTATTTACATGTGCTATTAATGATATTAAGGAGCTCTGGTAGCGTAATGGTTACGAATCGGGCTGCGAACCTTAAGGTCAGCGGTTCAAAACTACCAGCCGCTCCGCGGGAGAAAGATGAGGCTTTCTACTCCCGTAAGGATTTACACCCTCGGAAACCCTGTACAGGGTCGCTATGGGTCGGAACCCGACGGCACTTAACAATTAATGATATTGTCAGATGATTTCTACATTCTATTGGGTCACTTCTCTTTGGAATAGGCACAAATATGGATCTTTTCTAGTTAGTTGGCTGGGTAGCTGTCTTCCAAATTTCCTGATATAGATGAGTGAGTACCTCCAGTGCTGCATCATTTTGTTGAAAGATTTCAATTTGTATTCCATCAATTCCTGGCATCTTGTTCTTTGCCAATGCCTTAGTACACCCTGGACTTCTTTTTGTATCATTGACTCTTGAAATGGTTGAACATTGACCATTTCTTTTTGGTACAGTGAATCTGTGTATTCTTTCCAGCTTCTTTTGATGCTTTCTGCATCATTCAAAATTTTGCTTATAGAATCCTTCAGTATAACAAGTTGAGGCTTGAATTTTTTCTTCAGTTCCTTCAGCTTGAGAAATGCTGAACATGTTCTTCCCTTTTGGTTTTCTAATTCCAAGTACTTTCACATTTCATTATAAAATTTGACTTTGTTTTTTCTAGCTGACCTTTGAAAATTTTTATTCAGTTCTTTTACCTCCTTATGTCTTCCATTTGCTTTAGCTTCTCTATGTTGGAGATAAAGTGGCACATTTTCTTGTTTTGTGCTTCTTTCTTGTTTTTAAAATGACCTTTTGCTTTCTTCCTGTATGATGTTCTTATGTCAATTCCACAACTCTTCTGGTCTTTAGTGTCTAATGCATCAAATCCGTTTTTCAGATGATCTCTAGTGGAATATGTTCAAGGTCATATTTTGGCTTTTGTGGATTTGTTTTAATTTTCTTCAGCTTCAGTTTGAACTTGCATATGAGCACTTGATAGTCTGTTCCATAGCTTTTTCACCATCTCTTTCTAAAGATGTAATGAATTTGACATCTGTGTAGTCCATTTGGTGAGGTCCATGTGTATAGTCATCTTTTATGTTGTTGAAAAAAGGTATTTGCAATGAAGAAGTCATTGGTCTTGCAAAATTCTATCATGTGATCTCCAGCATCTTTTCTATCACCAAGGCCATATTTTCCAGCTATTGATCCTTCCTCTTTGTTTCTAATCTTTGCATTCCAATCACCAGTTATTATCAATACACCTCTCTCTTTTTTAAAAATGGTTCTACAACTGTTTTTAATTTTAGAATGCATGATTAACATT